CTATAAAATTTTTCTTTAAATTTTCTAAATTTTTATATGTTTTTGCCTTTAAAAAAATTTTTGCTTCTAATACAAGTTTTAATTTTTATTAGGAAATCTTCAAAGGTATAATAATAAAAGTTGTCATCCTTTATATAACTACAATATTGTATTAAGAACTATAGATTTAAACCTAATATTTAAAGAGTTCATCAAGAATTTTTAAATAATTTTTTTAGTTAAAATTTTTTTTTAAATTTATTTGTTTTTAGCTTATAAGCAATACAAACTTTTATTCTTATAATATAAAATTAAATACAGTCTTCCCTCTTTATAATCGCCTCTCTTATAATCACAACCTCTATAAAATCACATAAATTTATAGTCCCAACTTTTTAAAATATAAAATCCCTCTTTATAAAAACAATATATATATAATCACTATTACACTTTTTATTGTAACCAAACTATAAATATATATAATAAATTTACCTTCTTATAATCTCTTAAAGTTACATATTAAAAGATTTACCAATCAAATTAAAGATCTTGACTTTGACTATATACATAGTGAAGCCACGGGATAAATACTGTAGGCAATAGAGAAAATACAAATCTATCAAAGCTGTATCTAGAAACTTAAGCACTAGAATTTAAGTATTTTTTTTTTATTATCTAGTTTTTTTTATTTCTTTCTCTTTATAATAAAACTAATAAGCCCCAACACAGAGATATATTGAAAACTCATGACCTAATATTGATTTGGTCTAGAAATATTAACCTATTATTGAGGAAAAGAATGATCCACGATGAATGAATAGTTCTGCCCAGTTATTTTACCGGAAGTTCATTTAGCCAACATTATATAGTGTTAGGGTTAAATATTTGATTAGTTTCAGATATATTTTTACTAAAATATCATCAACGTGATGTCAGCTAAATGAGCCATTGGTGAAACAATTGTTGGTGAAGTAAGGTGAATTCAGAATGACAGAGCCAGCCTTCACTACATGATAAGCAATAGCTAAAAAAACGATATCCTTCTCAATCTAACAAAGGAACTTCAATACCTCCTCATTGGTGAAATACACTATTACTTTCCTTACGCCACTAATTAAATGCTCAAAACATATCGATATAATTACCCTACTATACCTTAATAATCCTAATGATATGATTATATATATAATCATATGCAATCACAATATTAACCAGAATATTTTTGTATCTAATATGATTCTGTACCATAAGAACTAACACAAAGCTCATAGAAGGATTAAATATAAAATCAGAACATGATTTTATAAAGTTATCTGCTCTTGCAATAATGGTCTCCTTGTCATTTCGTTGATAAACTTCTTAAAATGTAGAAATGTTAAAGCCAGGTATGGGTTAGAGTTACTTTTTTTATACAATTATAGTTAGTGGCTAATATAAATGTTAAGAATACAATTTATACAATATATGAATATGTGTATCTAGCTTTAACAGATCCTTAAAATAGAAACTTATAGATGAATATAAATATTAAGCACAAAAAAAGTAATAATACTAAAAAAGGTAAAGCTACTCTAAAAGCTATTAGAAAAATATGAAAATTTATAATAAATTCGATTTTAATTTTATATGAAAGAAAAAAATATAAAAAATACTAGTTAGTCTAGATAAATAAAGTAAAAGAAAACAATAGATGAATACTTCCTATTCAAAGCCTTCAGCCCTAATTCTTTAATTCTCATAGCATAAAGATGGAATAAGATAAAAAGTTTATAAATATATGCATACTAATAAAAATAACTTGACTTTAGATAATTTGCTACTTGATAATATTCTCTTTAATAAGTTGTCTTCTTTTTGTTCTAACTTTGTAGTCTTTTATTAATTGTAAATCTTCGATTTGGTAGCAGTAATATTATTACTATAAATATCATTTTTTTTTAAAAAAAAAATTAAATATCAACTAAACCTAAACAAATATGAACTACAATTAGTAATGATTTCAAACAGCAAATTTGTGAATTTGCAGTTAAAACTTACACTATAACCATACACAAATTAAGGAATATTTTAATCAAAATTTTCAATTAAATATCTATCGTACAACTGTTTCTAAGATTATTAATGAGAAAGATAAACAGCTAGCAGTAGTTCCTAATGAATTAGCAAAAAATAAGTTCTGCTACCATTCTCCAAAATTTCTATTACTTGAGAAAGCTATGAGTTTATGGATCGAAAGTACAATTATAGCTAAAATTTCAATTAGTAAAATGTTAATCAAAGAGAAAACAAAATTTTTTATAAAAGCTTTTAATATAGAAGAGTCTGATTTAAAATTGTTAAACGATTAAATTAAAAAATTCAAATATCGTAATAATCTTCGTGTTTATCGTTTACATGAAGAGGCTAAAAGTGCTTCCTTAGATACTTTATTTGAAGAAAAACAAAAATTGAATAATCTTCTTAGCCAATATACGCTTGACCAAATTTATAATGCAGATAAAACTGCTTTATATTATTGTATGCAACCAAACCAAACTTTGTTATCAGCTTCAATTATGGTCAAAAAAAGATATATAGATTGGAATCTGCCTGATTTAGAATTGGGCTATTCTGATTCTAAATTGGGGCAGCCAGATTTTGAATCGGGCAGATTCTAAATCTGGGTACAACATATATATTTAGTGGAATAATACGTATACCTCCTTAGTATATAACAGTCAGGAAAGATGTCATATATGTTTATATATGAGTGTAAGTCTATAATAAAAATTATAATAAAAACATATAAATTTACTATAAACTTTAAGCTA